GTTAAATTCGCCATACCATCCTGTAGCCAAATGGCTAGTCGAAATCTTACAGCCGCTTCATACGGAGTTAGTGAAACACAGTGTAAAGGATACTTTCGGATTTGTGGAAAGGATAAAAGATTTAAGTGTCGACAATAAATTCATGATATCATTTGACGTATCTTCCTTATTCACCAATGTACCACTTATGGAAACAGTGGACTTTGTATGTGAAGAACTTAAACGACGAAACATCAATGTCGGCATTCCTATATCATTTGTGAAAGAGCTTCTCTTGAAATGTACAATGAATGTCCACTTTTTATTTAATAAGGAACTATATAGACAAATTGACGGTGTGGCAATGGGGTCACCACTGGGACCCATTCTAGCCGACATTTTCCTTGCGAAACTAGAAAATGGGCCTCTGAAGGATGTTATTAGTGAACTCGAATTTTATTGTCGGTACATGGATGATACTTTTTTAATTATGAAAAACGAGAAGGAAGCAAAGAGCATCCTGGATAAATTTAACGAGGTACATACTGCAATAAATTTTACCATCGAGACAGAAAAGGAATCTAGTATTCCATTTTTAGACGTTTTTATGACCAGAAAAGAGGATGGCTCAATAAGAAGAAGTGTATATAGAAAACCTACATCAACGGGCCAGTACACACATTTTCTCAGTTTTGTGCCCTTGAAATACAAACGCAATTTGATAAAGTGCCTGGTTCACAGAGCAAGAGCGATTTGCTCGGACGAATGTCTTGATGAAGAACTGAATAATATTAAACGGTTGCTAAGTGAGAATGGTTATCCTGAAAAGTTTATTGATAAGAATATGAATTTGAAACCAAAGCAGCCGAAGTTACCAACAGTTCCAAAAAAGGCCTTATTCTTTCAGATGCAGTTCCTTGGGGACAACACTAGCGAGATACTAACACAGCGTATTAGAAACGCGGTAAAACGAGCATTCCCTGCTGCTGAATTACGTTGTATCTTTAAGACTACTTCTCTTCTGCGTTCGGGAGTAAAAGACAAACTGCCTAATTTCGCCTCATCCATGTGTATCTACCAATTTAATTGCTCCTGTGGAGCCAGTTACATAGGCCGCACAATTAGGCGTGTTTCTCGTCGAATTTCCGAACATCACCCTGCGTGGTTAAGCAAAGGCCAAACAAAATCTATCCGTAGCGCTATTTTGGCTCATCTGGTGGATACAGAACATAGGATTGATGTTAATCAAGCTTTCAGAGTTATTTATCGGATACCAACAAATCTCAACTTCGCCTTAAGAGTTCGATTACTAAATATTGCTGAGGCTGTTGGGATCCACATTAAAAAGCCTAATTTGTGCGTCCAAAAGAAGTTAGTTCAGACGCTGTCCCTACCTTGGCCATCTAGGTTTGAATGATTCTCAATTTTCGTGAAAATTTCCTAATTTTAGTTGATATCCTACTCGCTATTATATCTTTATTACTATTATAATTTAAGTATTTTTAGTGAACTGTAATTGCATTGATCTTGCTTTACAAATCGATATTATTTAAAAAACACTAATATTGTTATTAACTACCAACCTTGAATATTCTGTGTATATAAACATGTATATAATTGTAGAGCCAGAAGAGGAATTTATTGAAAAGAATATTCTTTGCTCGATTATGTTGTGTTTTATAGATATCTGAATTGACCGTTTGTTATCCACTCCATTGGGACTTACGCAATTAATTTCTGACTTGTGCAGAGATTCTGAACAGAAGGACTGGTTTGTTGCATCGGGAGAAGAATGTTGCGGTTCGTTGTGGAGAATGACCACTCAGCTGAGCGAGTGAATGGAGTGTTTGAGTAGTCATTACCATGACACATAATGCCACTGTGATGATAGTCAATCAGCATTCATACAACGCATAGTTAGTCAGGTGGTCAGTCAGTGAACTTACTGCGAGAACTGAGATTTTGTTGTTCATTCATAATTCTGAATAAAAGTTTTTTGACGTTCTAGTGGCGGTTTTTCTTCCTCTTATTATTACACTGTTCATACTTCGGATGTTGATAAAATGAGCCTGGTGGATGCCAAATATCCCTACATCGGTTCGAATGGGACAGCGTTCATACATCAAGAATACTGGAGAATGTTTAAAAGCCTAGTATTCCAGTGATTCGTCAAAGAACTGACACATTGGAGTAAACGAATTTTATCAATCCGTAAGTGGGAAATCTCACACACAAAGGGTCAAAGTTCCAGTCAAGGAAACAGCAAGTTCCAATGAAAGAAGACTAGAGGTTGTGAAAACACACAAAAACAATCAATCACGTTCAAAGTCACAAAGAGACATGACTTATAAACTCATGGAGAAATCTAAATGCACAATTCAAATTGATTTTTGCGCTGATGATGTTCCCCAGTAGGGAGATGAAATCTTCGCATATAAATTATCCATCTGGGCGAACAAGACTACTTAGAAATCATCCGGCTCAACCACGAATATTCCCCGAAATTTAATGGCTTGTTGCAGGAAGGACATTGCACTAAAGTGTAGAGAGTCACATCAACGAATTCTAATTGTCTACTAGATGTGTTCCAAGAAACTGGCTCTAGTTCTTTGAATGCTTCTAATACACCCGTGGTTTCTTCTGACTCGAACGTATTGTTCACAGATTACTGATTATGAAATCATCGAAATTACTCACCAACATTCTTGATTCCCCAATTTTACAAAATTGGATTTGATCTCCTACCACTATTCGATGAGAGGGATATAAGCGTCCACCTGATTAACAGTCTGTACAATGAATATCATGAGATAACAATGACGGCACGTTAGACCTTCCAACAGAGTATTTCTATGCAATTATAGTCGCGATTGCAAAATATCTGTATTATTCCACACATGTTTAAAATGCGTTAATCCCTATAACGCAGAAGGATTTATTTCATATCCGCTTAGACCCTTCACTGCTATGTAGGAAAGCGTTGAATCTACTGTGTATAATAATAATAAAAACAATAATAAGGAGAAGAACAATCTGTCTGGACAATTTTACATCATGTAAAATAGATCGTATTTTTTTTGGTAAATTTATTTGATACCATTGCAGATGTACTATTGTTACAACAGAAGACAACGGCCAGGCGACAGATCGTTTAGCAAGGCAATCAACACATTTGTAGATTTTCAAGTATAAATTGTAGATTTTTGTTAACCGAAAATCACAGCCCTCTGATTGGTTGTTTCTCACAGAATGTTAACTTGGCATTTCTTTGTGGCTGTTTCTTGAATGTCAGATCTATATGTTAACTGAATCCACCTACGCAAAACTTTTCTTCTCATTTTTCTCACCACCACATCGGGGACATGAACATTGACGTAAATTACTGTCGACCAATTTCGGCTAACAGCCAGCTCTCACCACACTATTAACTCTGCTATTTGGTTTAGTGGTCCTAATTGTTATTTTGACCTTAAATATGTCCTTTTGACTTGACCTTAGTCTATTTTGTCACCTCTTACCTCTTTATTAATTTTATATATATTCCTATGACAAGTCCGTGTGTCATCAGATTGTTCGAAATGTGTTGCGCAAGTACAGTACACGTTTCAGACAAATTACGTCTTCGTATTGCTTTATCTAAACTCATAAAGGAAACTAATTGTTTTAACATAAATTTGGAGTAAGAAATTGCTTGTCATCTATGAAGTGGCATAATAGCAGGATTTCAAATGAAATGACGCCTAATTAAATTGCTGTGTAATTTAAGATGTCGAAAAATTTGTTTAGCGAAGAACCTCTGTTCTGCGAATTCACTTTTTAAACTGTACAATCAGAATTATCGCCTTTAGGTAAGTTTTAGAGCAGTGAAGATTTGAAGTGCGTAGGTGGCGCATCGGTTAGGACGCTCACAGACCATGCAAATGGTCCAGGGTTCGATTTCCGGCCACAGACGCACTCCTTTATCTCTCCATGCCAGAAATAATGCTGGTAAAAAGGAAAGGTTGGGCATGAGGCTAGCAACCCCATCCTGTAAAATAAACACTGTTACAGAAACCTCAAGCCATTAGCTTGAAGGCCTATGTTCCACTGGGAACGTGTAGTAAAAATTAAAAAAATAAAATAAATAAAAATGATTTGAAGTGATATAATTTTTTTTATGAAGTAGTTCAGTAAGATTCACATTTTAACTGAACAATTTAAATGAAAAACAGAGATTAATGGAAATTATAGAGAAGTTTTGCAATATTAGAGTGAAGACCAGTAGTTCTGCAAAGAGTCTCTTTTAGGCGAATTCATTTTCTTTGCTGTACATTCGCAAATATATATCCTTTAAGTTTGTCAAACAAAAAAGCAATCGGTTATGGTTATATTAATTAAACAGGTGACCGTAAGTACGTTTTTGATGAGGTTACGTAATACAAAAAGTATTCAGAGGAATTGGGTGTTGATATAAGAGGGTAGTAAAAAAGGGGTAAGTTGTCACAAACGATTGTTAAAGAAGAGTTACGTAATAACATGAATGGTTCGATGAAAGAGTTGTGCACAAGCTGAACATGAGAAACTAAACAAAATACGAAATTACGTAAGAGTTTTACAGTAACACAAAAGGTTCAACTGGTCAGAAAAAGCAGAAGTTATTTCTGATCAACACAGTTGGCTCTATGATAGTAGAAGTGGTTGAATAATTTGCCTTTGTGATAACCACAATCAGAATTTTATGTGAGGTGTATAAAACATTTCCAATTAAGCGTATATTATTTTATTTAATTAAAATATTCTGTCTTTCGGAATACTTTAAGAGTTGAACACTATCTGTGTAAAAGACTACTACAATATTCTTACTTTGCTTGAACAATAGCATAGCAAAGAATACCACGCAAACTTGTTACTGCTATGTGTTCTTTGTTGATAACAGATAATTACACCAACAAGATTGTGTGATACAAAACATTGTTCTTTTGTTAAAGAGTAGACAATTCAGTATGTTAACCAACAAATGTAACCTTCTGTCATCCGATCAGCAGATAAACGAGACTCAGAATTATATATAAGCCAAAATTTGGTTGGGTACATTTTGTACAACTTTCTCTGGTCGACTTTTCAGTGAGTACTGTTGTTTATTTGAGATTCTTCTCAATTTGATTTCCATATATGTGTTAATGTTTTAAAATTTGTGGTAGTAATAAAACACTTCTCTGTGGAGAGTAGTATTCTTTTGGTTCCTATGTGACATAACCACAGACGATTTCATTGATTTAATGAGTGTCTTGTAAGATTAATACGGATGCAGTTTATGAGGATAAGGGATTCTTGGATGATATATATATATACAAGACAACTAGTAAAATGACCGCTATTAACTCCATTTATTGATATCAGTGCAGTACTGTCTGCTTTACTCACGGAAATGATTCACTGAAAACAATTATAAAAATGAGGCACAAGTAGCAGACAGGTTGTATCTGATGTAATCTTCCTGAGACCATGTATGTCTGTTCCACAAACTGCCTGGTGTCTAGCAAATTAGGACAATTTGAGAAGATTCATCGAACGGCGCATGGATTGTAGCAGCAAATGTTATTGGAAAACAATATGAGTAAACCACCAAGATGCTGGGCTACGCGAAGAACTGTCATCAAAACACGGATGGATAAAACAGTATCCATTATGTGGGGTTACTACGCCTTTAAGCGTAGAATCAAGTTGTCTAAACACAATCCAAACAATGCTTCGTTATATCCTCACGCGTCACCACTTCTGCTGCCACTGTTGTGGCTGATAATGATGACGATGACATAGATAGATTTCTGAAATATTGATGAAAGCATCCGAAAATTAAAGAAATATGACATTATATTTACTGTTTCTCTCCACATGTACGCTGCCTAAATCCTTGACAACACTGACACAGAGTTTCGCTTATTCGAGAAATTATCTAAATTTTTTTCATCATCAGCATTCATCGATACCTCCCAAGAAGGAAGCCAGTTTTGTTCTTGAAACCACACAAATACGTAGTGATGCTTCGAGGAAATGTTTGTCGATCGTTGGCTCACACCATTTTTGTCGTATCCTTCATTCTATTCACTGGCTGCGTAGTCCTCCACTACTATGTCGATCGAATTCACGGTGCTGTAATTGCACGCGTAAGTTGTTAATTTTTATCACATATAATTTTTAAGTAAAATAATCATGTGAATAACTGATCAACTGTGAATTATCCTGATAGATTGAATCATTTCATCTTGTGGAGCACTCATATTACTTCACATTTCATTCTTCTTAAGACTGTGCAAAACGTATTCGTTATTAAAATGAATGTTTGAGAAAATGATTTTGAGAAACCTGCTTGGCGATGGCGAAGAGTTGACAATCGTTGTTTATCAATAGTAATTGGACGACTGAACACTTAAATTCCCTCAACAAGGCGAATTATATATATATATATATTTACATATGATGGTTAATCATTTACGAAGGAGCTTGCTTGAGTTCAGGAGATATGAGACTATCCTTCCTATGGTCATGACGACGATTCTGACAAAAAACAGTTGAACACAAAACTTTTTTGACGTTTCATCAGTAAATCATAGGATATTCGGCCATTTAATTCTCAAGGAGCAAACACTCTCAGGTGAAAACGTCCTCAACACACAGCTCTTTATATAACATAAAATTGACAATCTCTTTATTGAAATATTAATGAAAGCTGTGCATTGACTTGACTTGTTTTTGATTCTTGTCTTCTTTCTAGTTCTTCACCCTCGTCCCTGGTAGTCTTTTATTTGAAAATTTCAGCGGGAACAATACAGCACTTAACACATCACTTTACCTTTACAACTTAACCAACGAGAAAGCCGTTCTCAATGGGGCCAGACCAGTTTTCACGGAAGTTGGACCGTTTCGTTATAAGTGAGCTATTCGATTATTTTTATCAACCTATATCAATTGATAAACACTTTACTAATTTGAGCTAGTAAGTGGGTTATAATTAGTTCGAACGCTCTCTAATGATTCTTTGTGTGCTAAGAAATCAGTCGAGCGCCTCAGATATTTTCTAATTTGGAAATAGGAGTAAGAGTAAGAGGGATCTATAGTGAATAGTGATTCTCTGAAACTGTTCCGTAAACAGTTTTTCAGTCTACAGTTTTGTCACTGTTTTATGTCTGGGATGGATTTAAACCTCTTAGGTATTTGAGATAGTAATAGTATTTTATATTCATTTGTTAGAAGCTTCGTTCAATCTCGATTATTATTTTCTTATGCGTTATCGATATCTGTCAGCTGCATTTTTCAAACGCGTTTGTCAATCTTGTTAACTTGATGAAAGTAACCTCTGATCAGATGGTGTTTAACGATTTTTGAAATGACATATTGATTTACATAGGAAGCAAACATTTAAGAGTGATGCGAAATTTTCTGATGAATCACCTCCAAAATATCTCCGATACAAAGCCAGATCATACCATTTCAAGTTCACGATGAAATGTCTGCGAACCCATTTGTTGGTAAAGTAACTTCTTTGGATCTTTTTACCGCAGTAAGTAATGAAATATTCTCATGTCTTACAATTTGCAATTCTCGGTAATTTCTCTGATACAAATGAGAGATGAATAACTTATTTTGTAGTTCATTCACCCAACACTCTTCCGTGTAAACGTTTATTGTTCTTAGACATACTAATGTATCATCACTTCATAATTTGATATAAGTATAAAACTTGGGCACTGTGGTAGAGTATAATTCCATTATAGATAAGATTTTATTTTGATAAATCGCACAGTGTTTACAGTTATACGAACTGATCAGTTCATATAACTGTAAACACTGTGCGATTTATCAAAATAAAATCTTATCTATAATGGAACTTCATAATTTATCCAGCTTATATTGAAGCGGATTCGCGAGTACTACTACTTCTGTCTTTATGTTTCGCGGTGTTTCATATTATCATTATTGAAAATTGAGGGAGAACAGTAGTGTATGTAGAGGTTTATTGTCGATACTTTGTATTCAAAATACTTTATTATTGTGTTACTTCGCAAAAAATTTGTTAAGTACCATTTTTGTTAAATGTGATGTCTGGAACCGTTTAGACTGACGTAAACAATGTTAAGGCCACACTCTGTGTTTATTGTGATAAATTGTTCAGTGCTGAGATCGGAGACGTCTTTCTTGTGATAGCAATATGGCTGTCTAAGGGGAGAAGAAGGAATGTATAAATTAACTTGATGAGTAACTGGTTAAAGATTGTTTTTCCTTCAAGTAGGTTATGACTGGAGCATCTAATCAGACACGCCTACAACGCAATAACATATTATTCGAATTACCCTGATCTGAGGTATTCTGTAGAGTCTTATTGCACTTAGCTGTGTAAAGACAGTGAATTGGGTTGACGGATTATGTGTTCCACTTGGTGATCAGGCAAGTATTCTTTCCGCCTTCAAACGTAGTAATTTCTTCCTTTGGAGTCTTTGATGGTGATGAATAGATTACGAGTAGTATCCATTCTCCGTTTAGCCTTTATTTATTAGATTTGATAGATACCTTTCGTAACTGATACTAACGAACTTGTGATGTCTGAATACACGTTAGCCTAATGAATGTCTGTGGCTAGTGTCTGAAAATATGAACCGCACGTATGCGTGTGCTCTCATTGGAACAATTAAAAGATATTTGTGTTATTTAAAACATTTCTGGTGTAACAACAGAAGACAAGGGCCAGGCAACAGATCGTTTTATTATGAAAATCAACACGTATTTATACATCTTTCAACTACATTATTATAGACAAGCGCAGTCATCCGATTGGTTGTTTAGGTAGACAAACGCAGGCTTCTGATTGGTTGTTTCGGGATTCCTTGACAAATAGAGTTCTCTCTGCGAATCATATTTTGCCACGTTAACTTTGCTGTGATTGGTTGTTGACTCAGGCTTGTTCATATTTTCTCACGGCCCATATTAGTGACCTAGACCTTAACGTAGATTAGTGCCAACCAATCGGCTAGCAGCCTGCTCTCACCACACTCGTCCCCCCGTCAAATACGTGCGACTGAAGTCGGCTTGATCTACTTGGTGCAGGCGTCATCGTTCGCTTGTCTCGCTGTATCCATTTCTGGAGCTCGCTGACGTTCACGCGCCTCTTATTGTTCGCCATTGCGACTGTGTCTGCGTAACCCCATCTCGAAGTGACCATATATGGTCCTTCCCACTTTGGAAACTGTTTGCCTGACCCTGTCGAACATTCGTCCATACTTCGGCTCACACTTTCATATGCTGCTTTCACCCGACCTCCCAGCAGCGTCTCAAGTAGCAGCTCCATCGCTGACAGATCTTGAACGCCACTCAACTGCGCAGAAGCCTTGAAGTCCTGCCCGAAGATCCATATGTCTCCATCGAAAACAGCAGGGCATAGGCTTTCCATTTGTCGGTAGGCAGCGACACCAAATGTAACAACAGAAGACAAGGGCCAGGCAACAGATCGTTTTATTATGAAAATCAACACGTATTTATACATCTTTCAACTACATTATTATAGACAAGCGCAGTCATCCGATTGGTTGTTTAGGTAGACAAACGCAGGCTTCTGATTGGTTGTTTCGGGATTCCTTGACAAATAGAGTTCTCTCTGCGAATCATATTTTGCCACGTTAACTTTGCTGTGATTGGTTGTTGACTCAGGCTTGTTCATATTTTCTCACGGCCCATATTAGTGACCTAGACCTTAACGTAGATTAGTGCCAACCAATCGGCTAGCAGCCTGCTCTCACCACACTGGCGATAATCTTTGCTAGTTTCCATTAAATGTGAAAACCACGTATTTACGAAATATACCCAACTATTAAAAATTAGACATTCATTCTTATTATATTCTTATTAAAACAGTAAGTCCACTTCATGAATTTTGACAATGTTATTCGAAGACGTAGATTATCTGAAATATGTGATGTATTTACGCAACACATTTCGAACAATCTATTCACACGTTTACTTGTCAAGTCAATTTATGTAAACATATAAAGAGCAGTTCAAGTACACAAAGTGGCAAATAGAACTTCAGAATAATAAGAATAAATAACACAATGTTTGATCATCCAATCAGATAAGGATAACCAAGGTGGGTTAGGAGTATTAATGAATTTTAAACAGTTAGTTCCCTTTATGAGTTTAGAAAAAGCAATAGAAGATGTACATTAAGAGTGAACTTGGTTTGGACATATATAATAGAAGGTGTAATTGCCTGAATCGTGTAATGTATTTGTGCAGAACATTTCGAATAATCCGAAGACACACAGACTTGTCATAGGAATATATATGAAATGAATACAGAGTTGAGAGGTGAGAAAATAAATTTAGGTCAAGTCAAAAGGACATACTGAAGGTCAAAATAAGAATGAATATCACTAAACCAAATAACTGAGGTAATAGTACATCTGGTATGGTATCAAAGTTTACCAATAAAGGTTTAGTTTGATGACGAATTGTTGCTTGGATCGAATAAAGGTGGTTTAAACTATCTGATTACTAGGGCTTCCACAAACTTTAAGATACGCCCAGAACAGTTTGTATAGGTAGGTTTAAAAGATGTGTAAACGTCAATTTTATGTCCTGTCTCTATAATGTGTTTCGCAATAGTGGAGCTAGGTTTGCTGTTCACACCATTATTGGGTTCTCAAGATTCTGTTTGCTTCTGGAACCATTTGGGAATATACTCTGAATCCTTTGCTCGCAGAGATCGATGAGTCCTCCCTATGTATCTGTTTCCACACGTACGTTCGACTTGGTAAACACAGTGGGATGTGACATCATTTTTCGCATGTTCAAAGGGCATAGATGGATATATTGGCTTCACATTCTCAATCATTATGATATCAATTAATTAATTAATTTTTAATTGTTTATTAATTAACTATTGATTTAGTAATGATATTTATTTCATATATATTCCTATGACAAGTCTGTGTGTCTTCGGATTATTCGAAATGTTCTGCACAAATACATTACACGATTCAGGCAAATTACATCTTCTATTGCCTTTTCTAAACTCATAAAGGGAACTAACTGTTTAAAATTCAAACATCTTATGAGTTGTAATCAAAATTTGACCTCAGACTTTCGAAATTTGTCTACTTTGTTAAAATATATGTGTATATGCAGTATACAATGGTGTGTGTGGGTGAACAGTCATAAAACATTTGTAATTTTCATATGAGCTGTGATCAAGATTTACCGAACTCACCCATTTACCACCACAGTAACTGTGGCCAAGAATCTGATCAAGGGAGCGAAACGTCTAGTTACTGAGGAGGAAAATTTTAACAAAGAACTAAAATTGGTTCAATCCACTCTTGAATCAAATAATTATCCTAAAGCCTTCATAAAAAGATATTTAAAATGTGAAGATAAGGATGAATCAAAACCTGCTGCTAAGAATTGGGTTAGTACAGCGGTGATTCCTTACCGCAAAGAAACATCCGATGAAATAAAGCGAAACCTTAACGACCATAACATAAGAGTATACTTTCGTGCATCTAACACCTTACGCTCATTACTGGTGAAATTAAAGATAAAATAGAACAAGAAAACCAGCAGAATTGCGTATACCAGATCAATTGTGGGGATCGTAACGCAGTATATGTAGGCGAAACTTCCAGACAGGTAAATATAAGAGTGAAAGAGCATAAACAATGTCTAAAGGTGGTTCCAAAGACCTCTGCAGATTTGAAAAAGCTGGAAAACAACTCAGCGAATGCACTGCATTCGATAGAAACGGGACACAAAATCGACTTTGATAAGACCAAGGTTTTACAGAAAGGTTTTGGTTCATATAAAGAAAGACTGACTGCAGAAGCCCTACATATATGGTTGAATCCCAACAGTTTAAACGGACGTGAAGGTGTGATGTTAGCTAATGCATGGCAAATCCTGACTAATAAATAAAATTGGACATGTATCAACAACTAGTCACACTTGGTCAAATTCCCGATTGTCTACATCTTCTTATGGAGGAAATAACATAAAAAATTATATTATATTTTACGAGTTGATCACGGATTGATATCAGTTAACGAATCATTTAAAACCAGGGAGTACTGGAAATGTCAATTATTTTGCAACTATCCGGTCAAATCTTGATCACAGCTCATATGAGAATAGCAAATGTTTTATGACTGTTCACCCACACACACACCATTATATACTGCATATACACATATATTTTAACTAAAGTAGACAATGTACTGAATTTTAGATTTTCCCGTCGATTGATTGGACCGAAGTGCTCGGTCTCACGTTGATATGTCGGCTTCTTGTGCAGATGTTTCGACGATGTCTGGGCATTTAATTAGAATTTATTCTGTGTATGGTGACTAGCAGTGGAATCCGGGATGCCCATTTCGTCCTATTTGGTACTTGCCATTTGGGTGAACCTGCATCTGCACCTGATGATGTTCCCACCGAGGCTCGAACCCAGTGCCCATAGTTTCGAAAGCCAAAGCGTTATCCACTAGACCACTTAGGCCATGAGAGCCACCTCTTGTGCAACGGGTCATATTAATTTAACTGAATTTTTGATTTTCCCGTCAATTGATTGGACCGAAGTGCTCGGTCTCAGGTTGACATGTCGGCTTCTTGTGCAGATGCTTCGACGATGTCTGGGCATTTAATTAGTACACAATTAGTGGATGGTGGCTAGCAGTGGAATCCAGGATGCGCATTTCGTCCTATTTAGGACTCGTCATCTGAACCGAGCACTTCGGTCCAATCAGTCGACGGGAAAATAAAAAATTCAGTTCAATAATTAATATGACCCGTTGCACAAGAGGTGGCTCTCGTGGCCCAAGTGGTCAAGTGGATAACGCTTTGGCGTTTGAAACTATGGGCACTGGGAACATCATCACTCACTGAGAAATGCAGGTACATCTAGCTGACGAGCTCCAAATGGGACGAAATGCGCATCCTGGATTCCACTGCTAGCCACCATCCACTAATTGTATACAAAGTAGACAAATTTTGAAAGTCTGAGGTCAAATTTTTGATCATAGTTCATACAATTTTTGTTTTGTTTTGTTTAGTATACCTGTAACAACAGAAGACAAGGGCCAGGCAACAGATCGTTTTATTACGAAAATCAACACGTATTTATACATATTTCACATACATTATTAAAGCTTATGCAATTAGACAAGCGCAGTTTTCTGACTGGTTGTTTCGGGATTCCTCGAAAAATACAGTTCTCTATCTGCGAATCATATTTTGCCACGTTAAGTCTGCTGTGATTGGTTGCTGAATCAGCCTTGTTCATATTTTCTCACGGCCACCTCTCACCACATACCTATTGATAGATGTTACCTGATTCATATGAGAGGAGAAACAATTTAAAAACAAGAGATGTACTTGTATATATAAACATACAATTTTATTTATTATACATGTTGATGCCTTTTGCATGGCTCATGATTGCACAAAGTTTCAAAACAAGAGAGGTTCCTTTTATATGTGAACCTCTGTAATGTTAATTTCGATTAATTTCCCTGATGAAGTTCGGACCAGATTGACGAACGACACGTTGAAATTAATCATTTCAATTTCGCTGAGATTTAACAAATAAAACATTAGAAATGAATATTCATGTTATTAACAATTATTGATATTTTAATAATTTCGGTTGACTTTTGGAATTTCTCCATTTATATTTGTAGGCACTCGTGTTACAAGGTTTTAGTATTTTAACAAGGGGTTTCCTGCTCGCTGCTAAGCCTTTTGTAACATCAACACCTCAGGAAATAATTTGGGGGTATACTCATGAAAACATAGAATCGTGTTACGCCTATGGACAGTGTCCGACTGAAAAAGTATCTGTATTTGTTAACGTGAGTTAAATTTCTTGTGAAATATAAACCTGGGTATAGTTTTAGCACAAATTAATGAAATAACTTATAATCATATTTCAATAGTTTACGCACAACGATAAGGTTTGTTATTGGTAATATTTCGAGCAAAATTGCTGCCCGCGTTCACATCACTGTTGGAATTGTTTTGACTTTTAATTCCACATGATTTGCATCAGCTGCATACATCCTGAGAAGTACGGTGCAGGAGTAATCCCTGTCATTTGGCTTTTGGCATAGTTTAACTGAATAGTCAGTTTATTTGATATGAATAAAATAGAATGTCGAGGAGGAAGACGACGTGCAAATTGTGCAGAAATCTAAGAAATGCATTATAATTAAAGTAGGGAGTTAGGGAGGAGAATATTCTAGAGTTTAAAGGTGAGTTTAATATGGACGCAGTCGATTGGTGAGTGTGAATAGCTGCTCTAACGAACTGGAGGATATTAATGACAACAAAGACTAGCAAGGATATTAATCACTATAAAAGCATACGGATGTAAGCACCAAGTTGTTTAATGAAAGAGAGCTGAAATTTCGGAGGGTTGAAATGAAGCAGTCGATGCTTATCAAGGCAATACTATTATTGCCTCGTATTAGTCGCTTTCTGAACACTAAATTCAGGGTTCATTCCTCCAATATCGCCACCTCTAGTAGTTTGGGGTACTGGTGCTGCGTCTTGTCTGTTTATCACCTTGAAAGGTACTTGCAAATTGATCTAGTGCATTGCATCACCTAGGTGCATTAATAAGTCAGGCTGAAACTCTAATACGCGGATATCATGGCAGGATTCCAATAATCCCAGTAGACAACCACCTCTCAGTCCTTCATTATGTACTTCATGGGGCACGAACAGTGAATTCATAAAGGCAGTTGGAGTTACCACGTGTTAGAAATCAGTCGACTTTGGAGACTGAACAAGCTTGTGAATACTTTTGCTTTTATTTCGGTGCTGAGAAATATAATTCACGTGTTTCTGCCAGGCGAAGGCAGAGATTCGCTGAGATGGTGAATACTTCTCAGTCAGAGTATATGCTTCGTCAGTGATGATGAACCACCTGTATTGATAAATAAGTCGTTGAAAGGATCGTCTATCTTCACTTTGACAATGTTAAAACACAGATATTTCAGCCAGTAAACTGCGAGATTCAAAAAGATGAAATTCAGTGGGATGTTAATTTTCACTGTCTACTCTAACTATTCTACAGTGTTCCGAAATCACTATCACAGGTCATAAAATCTAATCTCCGCGATCTCTTCACAAACACCTACATCCGAAGGATGTTTAGACGGAACTGAAGTGTCTGAACTTCTGACACACAGTAAGTTGACCAGCGAGTTAAAGAAAAATGTTTTGAAATTTCACATATTTCTCAATCTGATGTTAGTAAAATGCTGAAAGAATGGCTATGATAATAACAACAGTAATAATTGTAATAATAATGGTAGTCTTTGTGGTAATAAAAATAAGCCCTCTCATGGCATTCAGTCGTGCACATTCTCTAATCAGCCGGGCAATTCGGACTTGGCTGATGATCGTCCACGGAAATAAACTGTCACCTCACGTCTTGACGAATTCGAAGAAAGACTAGGTAGGATACAGCGTACAACATGTTCTTACTGTCGAACTACAAGTGACTGTTGAAGGTATTCAGTAGACAAGCGTTTCGCTACCACCATCCAATTGAATACTCTCTCTTCGACACAAAGTCTTCTTGTTAAGTCACTGTTATTTGAATATTCTGTGGTAAGAATTGAGTGAGATATCGACTGTGTATTGGTGTGTGATTGTTAGGAAATGTTTTTCTCCACGATATCCTGACAAGCGTTTTTTTTATATTTTAACATTCAGGAGAATGGGACATCAGAGAATGAGTTCGTTATTAAAACTGGAGTCGATGATATTAATGAGCTTGGAAAAGTGGTGGAATTCAATGGCCAAAGGTAACAATTTCCAAAAGAAATAGTTTCAAGCTAAATGAGTTATTATTCATTATTCAAATGATTCATCCCATTCAGCAACAACAATCACGACAAAAGCTTCACTCTACAGTTTGTAGAAAGTAACAGGGGAACACACATCTGCGAATAATGACCGTATCAGGTTGTGAAATGAATGTATCCTGTGTTATGGCTGAGATATTGGTGACTAAAAGCATAAAGACTTTCAAGATGTTCGACGAACAGAGTGACTGCTCTTCTTCTTGCATGAGGCGAACAAATCACCTCATGATTACACCGACCGATAACAGGGAGAGCAGATGGAATAGCTAATTAGAATAAAGGAGTGCATTAGAGGGAAGAAACTAGAAGTTCAACAAGGATAGATTTGCATTCAACTCAGTTCGTACTCATAATTTTCATTAATCTTATGCTTGGCTTTTGTTGCTCTCTATTTCCATATCTATTATCTCTCTGTCGACAGCATTCACCGTTTCTATATCATCATCATCATCATCATCATCATCATCATCATCATCATCGTCACCTCTTACATCTCCAGATAACTTGCAGCGTACAATGTATGTGTATTCTTAATAGTCACAGTCATGCAGTATAAGCACACTGTGGTCAGTTGTGGAGGACTAGGTGCAGTATTCTTTGTGCTGGAGGGTGGAATTTGAAGAGAGTGATAGGGAAACCACCTGTGGGAATTTCACGTCTCAAGCAGAATTCGAAAATAGGAGAGGCGTTATGAAAGAAAAGACCTGGATGACACTTGGTGTGAGATAGGAGGTTGATGAGTAAATAAGCGCGTCTCCGTTATGTAATAAGTGTCTGCTTTTCGACCGGTGGAAACTCGAAACCGATCTTTGACACGAAGGACACCACTTGTGTTCATCGGGAAAACGGAGTGTGCAGACTGTAGTTGAGTGTAATCATATCGGACCACTTTGATCACTGACACGCAACATCGAAGCAGCATTATCCTCCGAAGAATACTCTGAATTCTTTGCGTTTCCCGGTCCGTGTTTTGTGTGTGTGTGTGTGTGGGCGTATGTGTTGCTAGTAATCGTGAAACACAAATTGAATTTCTTCTTTTCATTTCTTTTGCAGTGTTTTAAATGTATGGAAAAGCGAATATGCGAACTATATCAATGGGAGTGGTAAGCAAATAAAATAGATAAATAACATCTATTGTTTTGGTAATATAATGAACTAATGAATGTGAATCACAAATTGGAAATCAAGTTACTCTGACATGTTGATATTGTAAACACGTCTTATTTCTGTGACTCCAGCTCAAGATGGTATTTTGTTCTCCTCACAGATGGATTTTCCTTGGGGCCAGGACTCACTGTCGGTTCGCGAAGATATATATTTGCCCATGGCGTTTGTCGTTCTGTAATGATGGAGGCTACGAAAGAAGTACCCCACCCCGCTTATCCTGCATTAAAGGTGAGAGGACTAGTTGATTTCTTCATAATTGAGGAGCATAGATGTTACTTTATTTCATGATATTGGTGCTAGACATCATTCTTCCTTATTTATTAGTCGTACTACGATATGGAGATTAAATTTCTCTACAGTTTCTTAGTGTCTCATTTCAAAACACCATTTATGAAATCTTTGAAACGAGGAAGGTATTTCACGCGAGGTTATATGGGGTCATTACGACAAAATACTTTCACTTCACGTATACAGATATACATATATATACTAATATGTATGTATATAGTTTTCATCAGATACCACTGAGACTATACTGATCTAGTTCTAGATATGTGTATGCTCCCTTTCGACCTCAAGCATGACTGAGCCCTTGAAGGGTTAACACCACTAACCATCAATTCACTGGTTTGATGAATACGAAGAGTGTTCATCGGTTACTTTTAGATGGGTGATAGTGCTGTATGTGAAATGTACTTGAGTAGCCTGAATGAGCCGGTGGAACTTGAATGCTGATTTCATTTATTTTCTTGCCTCCACCAAGTACGCCACACTGCTACCAGTCTTTCATGAGTGCGATTAAAGCCGATACTCATTATACTCTCATTCTCTCAAAAATATTTCACTGGATTCATTGACTAGACGAAAACCATTGCAGAGCCACCCTTTTGGTACTGGTTTTCATTCTTCCGTCGCATGATGAGCATTCCGTTGATATACGTTGAGTCTAGCAACATACGGTCTGCAAGCACGTTGACGATCGATCACTTCACTATTTTCTATCACTTAATGTGTTCCAGTGAACAGCGTTTAGGAGATCTTCATTTTCCAACTATTCTCAGGGAGTAATCGGGTCTATCCCTCTCTTCCCATATATATGTGTACACACATATATGCATGTATGTGTGACTCACTGACTTGACTGGCGCGCCACCAAAAGGCTTTCTCACAGGCTACAGACTTTGATCAAAAGCTGACTTCACTCCATACTGATAATCACATGAACGGCGAAGATTGGTAACAAGGAACTCCGTGAACGAACCAACCAAGAACCTATGGCAGGCGAAAGTAGAGACGCACCGGATGCACATCGAAATGAGCTTTGAGTGACATGGAGAGCCAAGCCGTCTGGTTCAACCAGAATGTGGAACACCGACTTCAACGTGTGTCCTACGGTGAAGTGGATGAGATCGTGTGAGGAGGAGTTGAGAGCTTTTGAACAACCGTGAAGCCAACTAAAGAGGGTCGCAGGAAACATGGAGGAATCGCGATGTTCTGTTGAAGCTCTGTAACCCACTTGGAACTCAAGGAAATAATAGTAATAATACGGTCATCTACAGTATCTCATGCATTGGCTTTGTCTTACTCCTGTCTTCACTTCAGCGACTTCACTGAGCATTCACCTCTGAATCACTTGACATACAGCACCATCGTTTAGCTGCTGAACCTGGTTTGTAAATTTTTGTGTCATTGCATTCCACAGTGTTGAAGTAGTTTACAAATTACTTCACAGTGAAACCTGTCGAGAGTCTTTTCAAAGTCGGCGAAAATGGGGTTTTGCTGAACATCACCTCTACAGAATTCCAGTGTCTGATTGGGCAGGTTTCTTCACAGTTGTTGCATAATGTCTCCAAATTTTCCCATATGCCCGTAATAGATGTGTCCTTTGTAGTCCCGTCCATAACACTAGTAAGAAAGAATGTAAGGCGCCCGGAGTTTTGCCATACAAGAAAGCGACATATGAAACCCCACGTAGGAGTATTGGTAAACTGAGAATTGGGGTGGCATGTAAACATACTCATTCTCTCAAACATCTGTCAATGGGTACATGAACTAAACAACAACTACTATTACAGAACCACCTTTTCTTTAATGGCTTTCACTTGTTTGCTGCACAATGAGGGTTTTGTTAATATATGGTGAGTATAGCGACAGTTAATCTGAAAGAAGGCTGAGAGTCGACCACTTAAATGTATTGTATCACTTGATAGGTTTCAGTGGGTAGCTATAGGGAGGACGTCATATTCCAGTAATTTCCAGCGAGAGTAGAAGTCCCCATTGTCTTGTGGAGTGGATATTCTCAGGACTCATAAATACAGTAGGTTGTCGGGATAAACATTCCACCCGGTAAAGTGTTCTCTAAACATACTTCCTCATATTCACAAATTCGTAGAGGTCAATATATTACCTGGTCATTTATTAGAGATCAGGTAATCTTCAGTCACTTGAATCAAATTCTATGTTCGATTGCTATTTCTACTGCATTGATCTGTTTCCAGAATGTGGAGAATGTGACCCAACAATCATTGACATATTACATATGTCAATCGAAATACCGCAGATCACATTTACTCAAACACATACTTAGCGTAGTGTTCACTAGGCCTCAAAGTTGATTGTGCATGCATATTGAGTTGTTTGGAGTGTAGAATTGAGCCAATGAATAATCGCGGTTGACGATAACTCGGGACACCTCGGTGCTCAAAAGTTAGGACTTCACATGTCACTGACATCAGCACGATGAAAATTATTTTCACACTCCTAATAAATCTCACTTCTCCTCAAATAATTTTCACAGGTGTTACTGTTCGAACCGGCCTCGGAAGATAAAATGGACAACAGTGTTTATCCATCACCACAGGAGTTTTGTCAAGGTAAGAGTTACGAACCGAAGTGTGCTCCTAAAGGTTTGGTGGCATTATCTCCCTGTTTAAAAGACACCAACTATCTACCAATTTACGGCTCACAAGGACACTTCATCGATGTCGACCACAGCATTCGCAATCGATTTCGTGGCATTCCAGAACCGGATTACAACCTGGACAGAACATATATGCTGGTCGATCCTGTAAGTGGGAAGGTTTGTTACAATGTATTGAAGGTGGTGGTTGTGAGTTTGGTGGTCGGTATATCGCTAAATTAGAATTCGAGCTGGCCACTTCTGACACGTTCACGTTAACTAACAAGATCCTATGACTAGATGTCGCTAGTCATTGTTGCTCGTGTTTGAAACACGCAGAACTCACAAATACGTTCCTCCACTCAGTCGAATCACGTTCGGCTGGAGTTGTTATTTGCGAAATAGCTGTTCTCAGTGACAATATCAACTCTCTGTGAGTATCAGCCAGCGGACATAAGGGTGTGGCAGAATGTGCATGAATTGTTCGCATTTGGCGCTATCGTGAGGAGAATTCCATTTGTGTCCTATGTGACATTAGCGTGAAACGTATATTCGGCTCCACATGAGCAAATGAACTTGCATATGCATGTTGAAGTGGACCAATGTGACAGCTTGTCTTTCATGTGCTCGTTGAGCAGTTTCTTGCAGGAGGATATTACTCGTAGACTGGCGGTGAAGTATGTTTTACTGAGAGACTTCGAAAGCCGTCTACGGAGAAGTTCAGCTTTGGCATCACTTTCAAATTCGAGGTCAATTGTCAGCATCATTTTGAGGACGATCTGGACCCTCTTAGGCGTTTTCTTTGGTTTTAGACTCTGGTTGGGAATCCATTTTCTATCAATGTCCATCGGAGATCTAGCAATTCTTCGTCACTCGTCTCCTCATTGCACGTCTTCCGGATCCTCGAGGAAAGAGAGTATATTGGGTTCCTCTTTCTGCTTAGAGGCACACAACTTTGTAAGTTGATAAACTGTCCGTTCCATGTGTGCTTTTTGTGGATGGAACTTCTCAGCGAGTTGTCAGCATCCCTTCACAGTTGAACATCGGGGAAATGAGACACCGAGTCAGACTCAACTTCCAGAGGGAAGGCGATGTTTGGGCAGGGATGCGTTATTGAAGGTTCTAGGTAGGATTTTTAGATCACAATTCTCATCACAAATAGTGAAGGTATAACTGATGTATCTCTCGTAGAGATGGAGAACGTCTATCGTTGGTGTTGAGGAGTTGTTTGCTAGGCTAGCCGTACAGCAGTCGGCCAAGAGGTGTCCTAGATGAGAACCCACTGCTACTCCATCTGCCTGATTGTATATTTCGTTGTTGAAACTAAGGTATTCGTTGGAGGTGCATCGTAGTAGCAGCTCTTTTAGGTAATGGATCAGTATCCCAACACCGACGCTATTGGATTGAATGAATGAAGTCACAAAAGGGAACCTGTGGTTTCTGTTAGTGGGACGCTAGTGAAAATAGAGATGATGTGCAAGGAGATCGTCTTTATATTCACCAGGTTGACATTGTTAATTGAATCAACGAAATCGAATGTGTCACGGAGGTTGTGTCTTGACACCTTCCATTTCACTGGTCCGAGAATATGTATATGCAAGTAAGTGAGTTGGTTTCTAGCTTCAGATGACTTAAATAAGCATTCGAATGCGTTGTGTAAGTCACTCTTCACACCGACAACTGATTGTTCAATTTATCGTCGTAACTTTCCTCATCAACAGCACCATACAGAGATTTTTCGTATAGATGATACAACTACTGGGAATGCTTTGGAACTAAATGTTTTCCACGATTGTGTACAACTTAGTCTTTCAGACATACACTAACCAAATATTAAGAACTTGTATATTCATGAACTTCGGTTAAAACTACAGGTGACGGGAATCACGTTGGGCGCTCACCAAGTTATGCAGTTAAATTACTACATAGACAATCCAAGTCTGAAGTAAGTCATTGGCTTGTGCTTTTTCTATTTTTCAGAATATTCTTGCACATTCGCATGTAGTGGGAAGATGTGCGTCTAATTAGCGAATAAGACAGTAGTTACACTGTTCGCTTGAGTTGTGCATACATCCTGTTAATAAGGTCGAATATTTTACAAATCTGTGAAAATCATACTCAGAAGTGACGAAGGAGTCCTTGATTGCGTTTGTGCATTTACACGATTGAACCAGTGAATGATAGAGTACACGGCTTCCAGTTATTGAGTCCAGATTCAACTGAGTCGATGCGTTTTTCAATGAGGTAGCCGAAGTGTAGAATCAGACGCCGTGTGTTCAGTAGTGTTTGTTCTCTGAAATAATTGTTAGATCAGTTGCGATTACAGTGTAGTACAGCTGAGAGTTTCTAAGTACGTCGGCTGTTAATTTAGAATGAAGTGATTTCCTTCCTTAGATGTATTTTCAGCGCATGAGAACTTTTAGGTTTTCCATTTGATACAAAGATTTTTGCAGTACCCGAGTAGACATATTAATTCTTCAGGAGGACGGCCTGATATCGGCTAGAGAAATACATAATGTGATATAGTGTGTCACCTATTTTTCTAGAATGGCTTTACTCGAGTTAGTATCATGCTCGAATATAGAGTTAGTATCACGCAGAGCTTTGTAACAAAAAACCCCAAAAACGAAATGGCCAATTAACCTCTCCATTTATTTACCTCTTTCAGAAGCATACCATATCAAAATATGGCTGGAAACCTGTTCTTTCCGATTGTGAGAATTGTAATGGTAAGCCTTATTTAACTGTTTCATAATTAGCTTAAATCGAGGCTCAAGTGAAACAAGTATGCAAAAAGAATGAGAATGATAAGCGTTAATTAGAATTTGTAGTTCCTTTTATGATACTCATACATTTAGTATCACTCCTTTGGGACACCCAGTAAAGAGAAGACGTTGGTGTCTTTGTGAAGGTAACACATTCAAAGATGTAGCAAAAATGTAGCAAGAGATTTTGATAAGGTGTCCTATTTGAAAAATATTTCGAACTGGCGATATCCATGTGGGTGTTCTCGTTAGGTCGTGATTCGTTCAGCATCTATGCTTTCGTGCGATGGTTGATTGGGAGTTGCACGAAAACCAATGTAGAAAGCTTGCAATCACTAACTATCCCACTGATCTACAGTAAATGTCATTGTGTGAAAGGATTTATAAAGAACCTAAGTGGGGAAATCACCTTCCCTTCCACAACATGTGCCACCAGTTGTTTGGAAAACGATGGACGTGAGAGTGAGTGAATACATGGATGAAAAGCTGTAGTGAAGAACTGAAAAATCCATCCAGTTACACAATCATGATAGTGCATCTTAGTTCGTGGTATCCACTGGTTTAAATTCAACAACCATCACCAGCTATTATTTTCACCGATCTCATTTTCCAGGATGTTAGCGCGGATGCAGACGCCTTGAAAACAATACACACTCTGGTTCACGGCAGCAAATACTGGCTCAATATTGCAATCTACATATTCGGTGGATTGTGTTTGGTCGCGTTCTTCTCCACGATGGCCGTAATACTCAAAATGAATCGGTATGTTTGAAATATTTCAGCGCTTTCCCGTTCCTAGGAATTTTCAATGGTGAATTATTACAAACGAATGACCAGGTTTCAGATGTTCTTTGTGCTTGTGGACATCCTACTGATTAACTTTGGTGACCGTATATACTATATTCTCCCGTCTACACGATCAATCGTGTGTCCATGGCTTTTGACTGTCATTGTGTGTCAGGAACTATTCTTGTACCTCAAACGCCTTTCTGCCATACAGATAGAAAGAGATAAGCTACCGATTGTGTCGCTCAACCACCCCAAAAAAGACATAAAATCTGTTAAAATCTGTGGGATAGTGAAGGAGATTCGGTCGTTTTGTTGGCCAGATTACTTATCACCCTCCTTATGGAATCTACAAACGAATCCACCTATCAGTTTGATTGGTGAACCACAGGTAGAATGTGAACTGGACCAGTACTTCGGCGAGAAATGAATGAGACAATGTTGCTGAAGTGAGCTTTAAACCACACTAGTTTCTACGTCACCTCAATCATCTGTTTGACTGGTAGGAATTATGGTTGTGTAAGACCTACGGAGAATTTAGGACGAAGAACCTGTGACATGTTTCTTCACTCACTGTCTACATTCTCTCCACAGAAGTGGGAGCGTAATAATAGTGTCAGGATGTTGTATTGGAGGATTCTGTGTACATCGTTTGACATCAGAGGCCTCAGAAGGCTTCATTAAGTTGACATGTTTTGTTTGCATCCCAGCCACGAGCAGTGTTTCAGCGTTCTGTCGGAAAACCGAAATTTACTCCAAATTGCACATGACATCATATGTCCGAGTAACTTGTATCGTCACTCGTGATGTCTGGACAGTCTTTCGCCAAGCGCACTTATACCAGTCGACATATAGGTGCCACAAAATACGAAGCACTAAGTTGTGAACCGTGTCTTGGAGTATTTTGAATCGTGAGTGATAATGATCATGTGTACATATTCATGGTGTGATTCCAAGCAAGACTTTTGCGTAAACATAGTTAACTTGACTAACTTAAGGCAGTTAAACGTTTTCTTCCGACTGCGGTGATAATGTGTTTGACAGAATCTATCTCTTTTTTCCTGTTTTCCCAATATCCGTCCAGTGGAACAGAAGATTACATGTGATGGTATCATGCTTGATGATGTCAGAGGGCTGATTCAGTTTTACACAGAATAGTGAATCGAAAGACAGAATGTGATTTGAGTGCGGTGAATTCGCGATTTGTCATATTCCGTGTTTCATGAAGTGGTAGTTATTGCCAGCAATAATTTGAGAAGATTCGTTCGCATCTAATCTTAACAATGTGTGGTGATTCTGCAATGAGTGAGAATAATTTCCAACTTCATGATGAATCGGCGAGAACCAACACAACTGGGAAAATCTCTCAGTCTGATCGAAAAACACCAGTTGGCTTCCTCTGAAAACTAAATTCACCACACATGAATTCTGTCCAATATGTGTGGGTTCCCCTAACCATCGAATGACTATTATAAAAAAGGTGACGAGTAGTGAATTACGGAGAGGTGAAATGTGAGTTTGCGCATGCTTCGAAAAAAGTCGTAAATTGACACTTCACTGTTTGAAGTACAAACATGTTCATCGATCACTTTCTGATCTCATTGTACTCACTCGGGATTATTTTGGATTTTCAGTTTTCCAATGGGCTAGTATATTTCATTACTATTCGTAGAGAACAACTACGGTCATATATGCTAAAGGCTGGTGTCAGAAGCCCACTGTAATTAACTCCTTAACATTAGGAATAGATCATTTTCATACACTTGATGATTAGTATCCAATACTCACAATTGTGATTGTTTTTCCTCTGATCAATTTAGGAATCGCTCGTGATACTGGCTGTTATTTGTCGAAGATTTGAAAAACATCCTTATCCGTTCATTTGGAAATATCAGAGTCATGTATACAAAAGAAAGTAATTCAAGCACCTCTACTATCATCCCAACAACCGTGTTGATTCATACTGACTTGATGTTTGTGTACTGGCTCTTTTCTAACTCATTATAACATCTGTAATTTTTAGAACTCTCACGTAATTCCATATTTTCTTTTGTGTCTATATGCATGCTAATCGAAACTCACTCAATAAGCTATTCATCCTATTACGTAACTACAACAACTACTACTACTTCAACTTCTCTTATGTGTTGATTGAGATTATTAACTATGTCTTTGACAGCACATCACCACTACCCTCTGACCGACCTTCACCCTCACCACCCTAGTTACAGTTTGATTATTCATCACATTTTTGAAATGTCTTGACAACAATAAATCTAATTAATTTTTATTCTTACCGGACAAACTTAATGTACACACTTACAAAAATAAGTGTATGTAATTACGATTGTACAGCTATGTGCGCCAGGACCTTGAATGGGAAGCGACGAGTTGAAAGACTGAGGGTGATTCGGGAGAGATAATGTGAAGAGGAGATGAGAGCTTATTGGCAATCATGAACCTAGCTTAACAGAACTGGCGAGGAAAAGAATGAAAGCAGTTGTGCTGTTGAAGCCCTATGTTCCGCTTGGAACTTTATCAAATAATAATAAAAGTATGTCATCAAAATATTTCTGAACAGCGAATATTATGTAGAAGTTATGTAAAAATTAATCCCTGTATAACTAAGGCTGTGACTATTAGCGAGTATATATCAGAGGTTGCATAACAAGAAGAAAGATTTTCTATAGAATTAGATGTAATAGAAAAACGTATTAAGTACAGATGAATGCGGTAGACAACCGGGTTTGTTAAGGCGACAAGACTAGTAATCATCATACGAGAAAAACAGTCTGTGCAGAATGATATGGTACCACTTTTTTATCCGTTCGCTTTCAGTCATCTGCTTACAGTCTAAAAAATATTATTAAGTTTATGTACAGAAACTCATGCTTACATGCCTACTCAGAGAGTTCATTTTGAAACAAAAAATCAGTGTATGCATACAATAGTAATAACCACTTTATTCCGAACAACAGTGATCATGCAGAGTGGAATTTTCAGCGTTAAGGATTAGGTAACCTCGCCAGATACTATCTTGCTAGGCTACTAGCTTACTAGTTTTCTCGCCGGTCCCAAGCCCGGGTAAAGAGGGAGGGTTGGGGCGTGGTGCTAGCAACTCCACCCCTGTAAAACAACCAAATCGCTACAGAAACTTCAACGAATAAATATATTAAAAATTCTAAAAACATAAGCAATAGCCTTACTTTTCGCTGGAATCGGGGAAGTGAAATGACGCAGGCTGGTGAAAGCCTTCGGGAAGCCAGTCAGCCGATGTGCCTTCTTTCGATGAAAGCAAAAGTAAGGATGGGTACCTGGAATGTTCGTACAATGTACGAAACTGGAAAGGCTGCCCAGATAGCCGCTGAAATGAGAAGGTACAGAATAGAAGTGTTGGGAATCTGCGAAAGCAGATGGAACGGAACTGGAAGGTGCCAACTACCTACTGGAGAGACAGTAATCTATTCCGGCCACCTAGAGGACAACCATGAGCACACCGAGGGAGTGGCCATCATGATGTCACCAACAGCAACCAAAGCTCTCATGCAGTGGGAACCAATCTCCTCCAGGATAATGACAGCCAGGTTCAACTCAAAAGGAAGGAAAGTTACAGTCATTCAATGTTATGCGCCTACAAACGTCTCAGAACAAGAGAAGAAGGAGGCGTTCTACAGACAACTACAAGCAATAATGGACAACGTCCCAAATGGCGATATCAAAATCCTGATGGGCGACATGAATGCGAAGCTGGGACGAGACAACACAGGAAGAGAACTCACCATGGGTCGTGAGGCCCTCGGTGAAATGAACGACAATGGTGAACTCTTCTCAGACTTCTGCGCCTTCAATGATTTGGTGATTGGCGGTAGTGTGTTCAAACACAAGGATATACACAAGACGACATGGATTTCACCAGATGGAAACACCAAGAATCAAATAGACTTCATCTCAATTTCAAGAAAGTGGAGACGGAGCCTACTGGACACAAGGTCAAGGAGAGGAGCAGATGTGGGTTCAGACCACTATCTAGTACAAGGGACTTTCAAGGTGAAACTAAAAGCCTCGAGGATAGCTGGGGATAGGCCACAATGCAAGTTCAACACTCAATTACTGAAGGACACAACCACAAAAGACACCTTCACTGCAACTGTCAGAGCAAAGCAGGAAACACTACGCGACATCACTGAAGAATCATGCGTGGAAGAACATTGGAAGTCTCTGAAGGCGATTCTCAACGAAACGTGTTCAACGGTTCTAGGAAGAAAGAAGAGACAAGACAAGGAATGGCTCTCAACGGACACTTGGAAATTAATAGAAGAGAGGAGAATGGTGAAAGAGAAAATGATTCAATGCAAGGACGGACAGGAGAAGGAGACGATGAGCTCAACTTACAAAGCATTGGACAAAGAAGTGAAGAAGAGTGCTAGGAAGGACAAAAGACGATTCTACGACAATCTAGCTACTGAAGCTGAGAAGGCAGCAGGCAAAAGGGACCTGAGGACACTATATCAGATAACCAAATCTCTATCCGGGAAGAGATCAACACAAGCGAAACCTATAAAAGACAGCCAAGGGAACCCAATTACCAAGGAAAAAACAGATTAAACAATGGGCGGATCACTTCAAAGGACTCTTGAACCGACCATCACCTGCAACCCGTCCAGAAATACCAACAACAGCGCGCACACAACTGCAAGTTGACACCAATCCTCCAACGAGAGCTGAAGTCTTGAACGCAATCAAACTTCTGAAAGCTGGGAAAACAGCCGGACCAGATGGAATACCCCCTGAAGCACTGAAAGCAGACCCAGAGACGACAGCAGACATGCTGACTCCATTATTGCAAAAGGTCTGGAAGGAGGGAAAGGTGCCTACTGACTGGAGGAAAGGTTACCTCGTGAAACTACCAAAGAAAGGCGAGGAGTCACGCTCCTGTCGACGCCAAGTAAAATCCTGAGTCGCATCATCCTGGAGAGATTAAAGGACGCACTGGAGACAGAACTCCGACCAGAACAAGCTGGATTCAGGAAAGGCAAATCATGTACTGACCAAATTGCAACTCTACGCATCATCATCACAGAACAAAGCATGGAATGGCAATCAAACCTCTACCTCAACTTTATAGACTTTGAGAAGGCCTTCGACAGCGTTGATCGTGAAGTAATTTGGAAATTACTCGAGTACTATGGCGTACCCCAAATATTCATCAACCTTATTCAACAGCTGTACGACAACGGCACATGTCAAGTGATCCACAACGGAAAACTCAGCGAGGCGTTTGGAGTAAACACAGGAGTCAGACAAGGGTGCTTAATATCACCAATGATATTCCTAATTGTGGTGGACGACTGGAT